TTCAGTTGCGCTGACCTTTTCGCCTTGCTGTTCCATCGCCATCCTTCCCATCGTGGTAGTTGAGTCACTGAATACAAGTGTCAGAGTGTGTGTGTGTCACACTCTGTTCCAAAGAGTTTCGGTTTGGTTCATATCGCAGGGGGCTCACGGGTCTGTTTCGCGTGAGCCAACGAAGCTCCAGGATCAGACTAGGATATCGAAAGAGGACGCGCTTTCGACGTACCTGCGCTCAACCTTTGATCAAGCTGTTCCAATCTCGGTTTGTTTGCGTGGTGGTTGCTCACGACACTTTCCCCTCAAACAGGTTTCCCTCAGCTGCTTTCAGCCGCCATCGTTCAGCCGCGTTTCTGCAGACAAGTGAACAATGGTTCAACAATTCAGTTGCGCTGACCCTTTCACCTTGCGTTTCCCTCATTCCTTTTGACCTGGGAATTGAGTTAACTGCAAACCCATTGTCAAAGTGTGTGCTGCTGTGCTGTCCCACTTGGGTGCACAGTGTGATCCCGGTCACTGGGGCGCTGATTTCATGCCGGACTACCACTAACAGACTTTGCTGCTTTCTGCACACGTTGGATTATCTTAACTGATTTTCGTTTCACTACCGGGCTTCACGGATATCCAAACCGCCGGGTCAACGGAGAATGAACCCCAACGTGTTCTCTACCCCAAACACCCCAACCCCTCCCCCCTCTAATTAAGGGTAACAGAGGGAAATGGTACTCGACACACTTGTGTGTCGGTGCCTTTCCCTCTGTTGTCCCTTTTCTAGTCTACTCTACCCGGGCGGCATAAGACTAAAGTCCCGCTCCCTAACTATTATTGCACCTAATTCATTTCTGCTAAGTAGTCAGGAATTCTAGAGTGCTAGGTAGTCATACACACACACACACACGGACACACACACACACATGTACATACACCTCCCTGCTCCCCCCGCTTTCTTTCTTAAGCTTTTTGTCGTTTCTTGGGCTTTCTTTCAGGCTTTTTAGGTAGTTCTTGAGGCTCGTTTCCCTGCCGCAGTCAAGGGCTAAGTATTCACTTTTTGCTACGCCTATCTTTCTCTCTTGCCCTTTTTAGCGCTGCTCTTTCTGGTTTTCTTTCTTTGTTTCTAAGGCGCTTTAGGTGCCTATTTAGGTTTTCCGCGCGAGCGCCGCGAAGCGGCTGAGTGTGTGTGTCACACTCTGTTCCAAAGAGTTTCGGTTCGGCTCATATCGCAGGGGTCTCACGGGTCTGTTTCCTGGCGTGAGCCAACGAAGCTCCAGGATCAGACTAGGATATCGAAAGAGGACGCGCTTTCGACGTACCTGCGCTCAACCTTTGATCAAGCTGTTCCAATCTCGCTTTGTTTGCATGGTGGTTGCTCACGATACTTTCCCCTCAAACAGGTTTCCCTCAGCTGCTTTCAGCCGCCATCGTTCAGCCGCGTTTCTGCAGACAAGTGAACAATGGTTCAACAATTCAGTTGCGCTGACCCTTTCACCTTGCGTTTCCCTCATTCCTTTTGACCTGGGAATTCAGTTAACTGCAAACCCATCGTCAAAGTCTGTGTTTTGCAGCTGTTTGTCACTACATGGTTCGCAGGTGCCGGCTGTCGCTGTATCGCATCCATGATGGATTCCCTGTTTGACAGGACAGTAAGTTGTGCCACGTGAACTTTTGTCCTTGATGCTTTGGAGGCTTTGGCAGAGAAAAGACATCTCTGTTGCAGCATAAGGAGTCATGAAACAAAACAGCAATACAGCAAAGGCCCGATGCAGCGCAGGCAACGGCAGCCACGACGGCTTCAAAGAAGCACCCTGAAATTTAGCCGGTGCGAGGGCCTGGCGTGGCTGTGTTTGTAGCATAGCAGATCAAATGCTGTGGACTGAAAAGTCATGTGTCAGGGATGAAGAGCATCTGTCGGGGATGCGTGGACCGTGATGTCGTTCAAATTAGGTGTTGTAGAAGTTGACATGTTGTAGTGAACGTTGGTTTTTGTGCATGGCATCTGCCACTCACTTGTTTCAAGGAGGAAGACCTACACTAATAGAGATACAGTGCTCTTGCCAGCCCGCTCTTGCTCAATTTGCCAGCTGGTCGTAGTGTTAGGATACGTGATGATCTGAGTGCCAAGCTCTTACAGCATATGCAATGCGCCAGTGGTTCCAACCAAACTAGCTGCAGAGCTTGCCTGCCCCCATGAGACATTAACCCCACGCAGCCCACGCAAGTCATATGAAGGGTTGCTATCCAGGCTCCCTTTGTACAGGCTAACGCCACCAATATTTCATATGACGGCCACACAGTCTTCAGGGCCAACACTTGGCAAAACGTGGCACCAGGCAGGAGATGCAGGAGTTTCCTGTATTTTGATGAGGTGAAGAAGACTTCTAAAACCGGTTGATTCTTTTGGTTTGGACATTGTAGGCTTGTGTCTAAAGCAATTGTAGGACAGTGCATTGCGATAGGACGAGAGCGATACCAATTCAGAAACCACGACCAACAACTGCAACTCAGAAACTAGGGAGGGATGGGGACCGACCTATCAGCACGGTGAGGAAACAAAGCGGAGGGCACAACGGGGGGTGGGGAGCACAGACGAACGTTTGATTGATGGCTACGCTGACAACAAGCACCGTTCATGTCCAAAGGTGCTTTTGATAACGGTTTGATGTGGTAAACGACCTAACGACCTTGCATCAAGGGGTTTAACGCTTGCTGACAACGTGTGACGGTTTTGGGACCTCGTGGCGTTCCGAGGCAGGAGAACGAGACACGTGTGGTCAAAAGGAACGAGACACGTGTGGCCCGTATCCCTTATTCCAGGCAGTGCCTGTAGAACTTTCCGTCTCAATACTTGGTTTTTCATCACAGTTTCATCAATACTTGGGTGATGGCATCGAAGTTTCTCAGTTTCATCCTGTCTTCCCGACGCGTCGCTCGTGGTCGTTTTCCAAGCTCGGTGAGGTGCGATGCCGCATTCGCTGAGTGTCACGGCCGTGGTCTCCGCCTTAACGGTGCAGATCCACTTCAACGGTTCCACGTCGAGGCGAGGTCTGGAGGTGGGGTTCGCGGACGAAAGGCACGTTCTGGAGGTTCACCGAGCCCGAAAAGGTAGACTCTTGGTCGAGCCACCCAGTTGAGGAAATCCTCTTAATATGGATGGTTTATGCTCCTCAAGAGTCTACGTTACTGGAGACGGTCAACGGTTTGGTGTATAATGGTGCCTTTTTTATGCGTATGGCATGGAAAAAATCTGGACCCCCATGGACCCATGGACCATGTAGGTTGACCATGTTTAGCAGTCTCTTTTGTTCATTTGGGGTGGTCAACCAAGGGTCCCCTAGTTCTGACCCACTGTCATATATGGCTGATGCGTCTAACGCACGGATCGCATGATTTCTGCTTCCAACGTTTTGGTATTTCACGGTAGCTCGGTGGTCCTTTCGGTTGCACATCGCAGATCGCTTTTCCTTAGCACGACATAGTGGGAACACGCACTGCGACCACCCAGTGGGCTTTTGCAGTTTGTATCTTGGATGTTTGGTGATGTGTCGACATCGCCTTCTTACCGCACTTGGAACTGCGCACAACACCTGAAGGCCTGTTCTGGAATGCTTCGATCTCTTCTCGAATACCACTGCTGCTCTACAGCAAAAGTCCAGCGAGAGTATTCGGCATTCGGAGATGTTGAGAGGAAGCATGGCAACAAACATTGAGCTGAAACAAGCTACGGCAAAGCTGTTTGAGCTGCTTGTTGTTTGCTGTCCATGCTAGGCTTCTAAGAGGTGGAGGATGAGGTGTTGTTCCTTTTTGCCTCCCAAAACGAGGCCAGCAAGCTTGGGGATGAGCCTCGCTGCTCGTGGGCGACGGATTCCGATTCTCAACTGATGGCTTCTTGGTGGTGGAATTCAGCCGTTTGCGCTCTGTCCTCCGCTGTAAGCAGAGGGCTCTTCTTCTAGTTGTACTGTAGTCAGATTGCTTACCTGTCAAGACCGCCAACAGGTTGCTTTGGCTTCTGAAGTGCTGAAGTTCAGAGTGATCTTGTATGGTCTTGTCGCGTGCTTTTCCTGACCTCAAATCTACATCAGTTTTCAGTGGTGTTCTCAGATGCTTCAGGTGCATTTGGGCAAACGAGCTCGGCTTCTCGCAGGCGACTGGATCTCCTTTCAACCTGAAGCTGTTCAAGCTCTTGTCGACGGTGACAGCGGGACGCCAACCGATACGCCCGATGTCCTTCGGGCGGTCGCGCAGCGAAGTCCTGGATCTGCCGCCGTGAAGGTCCAGGCGGTGCTCACGGCGCCGAGCGCCGTGAACGCACGGTGTTCGATGCTTCGCTTCAGCACGGAGCTCTCGAGTGGAGCGGCGGGCCGTACCTTGGGGTGGACATTTGTGAAAGACTCGCGGTTGGCGGTGTGTTTTTGTTCATTTATGATCATTTATTCATTGCATTCTTTTTTGATTTTATATCTTTTGCCCGTCTTCATTGGGATGGGTTTGTCCCGATTGACTAGTTGAAGCCTTTTTGGCGATGGTTTGAGTCGACAACCAGATAAATGAAGACATCAAACGTTTTGAGCGGATGCTAAAAACGCATGTTTTCGGATGCTGAACACTGATCACCCATACAGACAATGAAGAACACTGACCGGTCAGTGCTGAAGACCATGCGGCAACTCTCAAGGCTCCCCCTGGCGCATGGGCTTAACATGGCTTCACTTTTCTTTGGTTTGACCTCAGTCTGTATGTCCAGTAGTACGTCCGCAAGCGCAGAAACCACCAGTTCTATCAGGGGGTCCTCCCTCGCAGGTCCAGTTCTCCGGTTCTTCGATCGGGGCAGAGCTCCGCAAGCTGAGCGGTCCGCGGAGTGACGCATAGCACAGCGCTAGCCTCGCGTTGGGAAGCTATGAATTTGAATAATGTGATTTTCTGTATAGCATGTTCAATGGAAATGATATGCATAATGCTGCATTGATATGAATTTCATATAGAGAATCGATTGCACGGACTGTGCCATATTAGCCAGCCACCATGTCTTGGTCGCTCCACTCACCTCCGCGGACCGGACCCTTTCTTCTTCGTGCACACCGGCACCGGACCCGAGTACGGAATGGCCTCCCGAGCTCGTAGATCATGTTTCGTGCAAGATAGATGTCATCCGGTCCAAACCTTCCAACACCTTCCAAAACGTTCTTCTGAAAACAGAAGAATCCAAACCTTCCAACATGTATGAACTCACTGTTGGTAGTGAAGGTGCGCAACTTAGAATGTACCAAGTGTCTATCGACGTTCTCTTTGGCGACATGTACAGTCACTCAGGCAGCATGCTGCTGGAATGGCGTTTGGGCAATCAGACCACTGGTCTCAATGTTGCGCAGTTGGAAGACTTGGAAGACAAACTGGACGCAGCAAGTCTCTCTTCAAGCACTGTTCTGGAGATTGACCCCTCAGCGCAGGCTGGGTGGAAAGTGCACAGAGCTTTGCAACCTTTTTTCCCTTGCGGCTGCCACACCGACATGTTCATTTGAAGAGTAGTGTCCAAATTTAGTCTGAGTGTAGCCTCGGCAGAGCATTCCTCAGACTTCTCGTTCATGGTCTTCACCAATTTCAAGTTGCTTAGTATACAGGTTACATCTATACAATTCCCTGTCAAACTGTGTGAACGTTTATATCACAGGCCTTTGCCGAAGGACGTGAACAGCAAGGAACCTTCGGACTTACGAAAATCGTAGAAAGTAGCTGTTGAACACCAGATGTTGCATGTGTCGGGAGCCTGTACTATGGGAAAGGCACTCCCGCTGGTGCAGGTGCTTAGTGTAGATAGATAGCAAACATCCCAGACGCTCAGGGACCCTCATATGGTCGGACCCTCATACGAAGGGGGTCTCAAATCCCTGGGCTTTAAGGGACCAAGGGCCGTTTGGAGCGTCTGGGCAATACACCTTACAGTATATGTGCAGACATAAGCTTTGTCTTGATTTCCACCATGGTTCTCCGGCGTCGGTTTTGGCCTCTGAACAGCAAAGCATTACGCCCGCAATCGATCAAGACCACCTCACAGCAGCATAGGTGGTGGATGTGGGTGATGTGTTCCTCTGGTTTCCTTCTTGGTTTTGGATCCAGCCTCGCCTATTGCAACATCATTTTCGCTGTCGTCATCCATTTTCACCCGGAACAACATGTAACCAACATGTAGGCAAAGAGGACTATCAGACAGCGCAGGCTATCGAGGGCAACGCACAGATTGAAATCGAGGTGCGGATGACCAACTGGCAGAATTATTCTAGCACTGCACATGCACTGGCTCAAGCATCTTGGAGGCATGAACGTGTGCAGGGTTGGTGTCATAGCTTTCGAAGAACAAGACACCAGGAGAGGCACAATCCAAGAAGACACCCCAAGAACGTCCTTTGGTGGAGAGAGAGCTGTCAGAATCTATCCGGCTTGAAAGACTCGACGACGACTTCAGGTTTCGGCTGACTCGCTGAGCCCGCCCTTGATTCCGGCCACCGTGCAAGAGATGGTTCTGGATCCTGCGAAACCCTTGGAGCTTGCCGTGAAGGTGCAAGAGAATGGATGTGTTGAAGGTGCGGTGGAGATCCAATGGAGCGCTTTGACGAGACACCCTGGCGCTGACCAAGACCCCAGTCAAGCTGGTCTACGACTGCGTGAATACACCTTTGGCAGTGGAACTCTGCATGGCTTCAGAGCATCGGCCTTCTACAAGGCCTGGACGAACGGATGTGGGACACTTGGAGGGCCCACGGCTCAGTCCACGGCTCAGTCCACGGCTCAGTCCATCTTCCGCTTTAGTCCACAATTTGCCAAGCATCTAGGCACTTATATATTGAGGCCCATATTGTCCGAGAAAGGTCCCAGCGAAACCTGTTTACAGATTGCTACATAGTGTATTTAATTAGAAGTGGTCTGTCTGAAGTTACCAAAACCCTATCGTGCGAAGACGCTTCTTGCACCCCACAAGCGCTCAGAGTTGGGGTAGAACATGGCCGCCATCCAACAGAGGTTAAGTGACCTTATAGGACCGTACTGGGGTACCTGTGGGATAGCCTGGTTCTTCAACCTCTGGATTGGCCCAGACCCGGTCCTCCAAACAGCCCAAGTAGTCGAGCACAGCTCGCAGCTGTTTTCTCCCCAACTCGCCAGGCTTCTCCGGCCCACTCACGGCACTTAGACTTTATCGTGGCCGTCCCGGAGCCACCCAGGTGCCTTTGCTGCCACCCGTTTTTCATCGTGTTTCACTCTTTCGCTTTCTGGGGCGTGTCTCAAAATAAGGGGTGTCAACCCCCAGGAAGCACCTCGTTGTCCACCTTAAAGAAAGAACCTGCAGATGAGAAAGGCTCCGCCTTCCGTTGAATGCAAGGCTGCGTGACTTCTTATGGCTTCCTGCAGGCTTGTGGCTGTTGGCCTTGCTGCGACCGATCAATGTAATCCCTTCCACCTATTAATAAACATGGCCCCCCCCCTCCCTAATAAGAGAAACTCGGTCGCATTTTTTCTAATAGGGGGTCCGTGAAATCGAGGGGTCCAAAATAGGGTCACCTGGGAAGAGCTTCAAAACCAAAAAGTCATGCAGACAAGTTTTATATAAAATCCTTTATTAAACTCGTATCAAAAATTCGAAAAACTTTCAGATCGAAGGGTCTTTCTTCCTTTTCCCCTACAAACACCTTTATTAGAATACTGATTCTTCATTAGACTAACAACCAAAGCTTTCGAAAGGTGATGTCGCTGTGCCATGCGGTTTTGCACGACCTCGGAGGCAAATGCGTTTGCGTGAGTCCGTGCCATTGGAGGAAGGAAAACCGGCTGGTGTAAATGCGGCGTGTCACGAGGGAGTTTTGGGGGAACCTAATTAAAAAGAAAAACTACCCCCAAAATCGACCATGTTGGTAGGTCATTAGCGGGTTGAAAGGGCTAATTAAAAAGCAAATATAAGCCGAATTTAGGGCTTCGGACGTTGTGTTTTTTAATTGGGGAGTGTTTATTCATAGGTACTCCGGATTAGTCGATCAGTTTGGAATGTAGTCTGAAAAAGATCAAAAAGAATCACCATCGTCACACATACAGTTGTATCAAGGCCAACCTACCTCCGTGCACAGTGCAGCCTGGACAGTTTCTCAACACTCCTGGTCTTAAATGCACCATACCTAGATCCCTCGAATGCACAGCCTCGCAGCCCGGCAGCGCCATTGTCCCAGAAGTGTCGCCACCCTTGGCAAGAAGTTTCGTAGCCTTGCCGCTTTGGTTGAATATCTCAAAACATGACTGCAGCCACACTGTAGCTGTGCGCACACTTGGATTTTGTGATGCCTGACGGCAGCCCAATATCGAAGTTGGCCTCAGTAATTTGGCGCACAATGTGGGCCGATGGTTCATTTCTTGACTCAGGCTGATTGTTCAGCCGAATGAGGTTTCAGGTATAGACACCGCCTCAAGATGTTTATTATTTGTGGCTTGCCCAAAGTGTGTGAAGCAGAACGATCAATGCGTAGAAGCCTTGTGAACTTTCTGAGTGAACTGCCCACCCCTATTGAGTCACAGTACCAGTGGCACAAGAGTGCCCTGAGTGCACTACAATTTTTTATGCGGCAAGGAAGGACACGAGTGTGCCGCAAGCATGTCAGCTACGTTCGCAAGAGCGTCCCGCAATTTTTTTTCCAGAGAGTGCTCTTCGAGTAGCAGACAAGAGTGACCTAGAAGAGTGTCCTCGAAAGGGTGTCGCGCAAGAGTGTTCTACAAGATTCTACAAGAGTGTCTAGCAAGTGTGCCTTATTAATTACAGGAGTGCCGCGCCAGAGTGTCCTTGCCTCCCACATTTTCGACGCATGCTGAGATTTAGCAACATTTGGGGTCATGGTTTCTGTGAGATCTCTTTGCCTCAGTGTGCCTTGTGCGAATGTGCCTTTTGATTCTAAAGGCCGTGGATAAAACTTCACCTCCTTTCTGAGATGTTGCTGTGTGTTTAGGCTTTAGACACAGTGTAGATCTTGGCAGATCCTTGGATATCCTTGGCATGTTTCACCGGTCGGCTTCTCCCAGGCTGGTGCCGGTAATTTCTGGCCCGACGACCGTCTCACGAAGCTGCAACTTTACGCTGAGAAGTCGGTCATTCGATGAACAGGCGATCTGACCGGGTGAACTGAAGTCGGGAAGTAGAAGTGACCAGTCGGGTAGACTCTTGAGGTACACTCTGACGAACACATCACGAAGTGGAGTTCACCTCTTGTTGGTAGAGGAAAGTAGTCTTCCAAGGGACCATGCCATCCACTTCCATGTTAGTGAGTCAGAGGGTAGATCAACCACCCCGTCTTGAAGCGGCGTCCTCTTACTTCCAATTGGGGGGGTTATCTACCTCAAGAGTCTAATTGACGGTATTGGTGTGTTTGGCTGATTCCTCCCCCTTGCTGCTTCGCTACCTTTTGTACCATCCTTGAACACTGCACTTGACAGGATTGAACACTGAAAACGAACGCGCTGACCCTGCCCAGATACCTCCATCGGAGCGCGCGCTGACACGGTTTGGCTACAAGTGGACGTGCGATTCAGAGCATTTGCCCTGTGATTTGCAGTCAAAGGCTTCAACCTTAAGCGTACAAGGTGGGAGGAGGGTTGATGGAAGGATGATTGAGATATCGGACAAATGTTCCCAACAAATTGTGCGACGTATTGAATGTTTTCCTTTTTTGCGGGTGCAAGTTCAACATCAGGGATATCGGAGCTGGGCCTTACAAAAGTCCACGCGATGGTTGCGTGGTCCAGCTCTGTTTTCTTCGTTTTTGTTGCTGAGATAGGACTTTATGGGCTTTTGTGGTCCAAAGACTCAGAATGAACACGACATGACGAGATGGATTTGCTCAAATCCTTCAAGAAAGCCCATTCTCCAGATGATAGCCTAAGGATACCAAAGGGCACATGAGATTGGAAAGGTGTTTCTTTTTTTTCCAGGATCGTTCGACTACTCCCGTCTTTCTGTGGATCAGTCTATCCTTATCCACATTTGTTACTTTTACCTGCTGAAAAGCGTTTGAAAACATCCCAGAGGTGGTGATGTTGAAGCTGGCATTTACAAGATAACGCTTCATGTTTGGAGAGAATGGGAAGACATGAGCAAGGCTGCCTCGACTACTTCCACAATTCGTGTCCTCCCGCATCAAGTTCCCACAGTGACGTTGGAGACATCGTGGATAGATGGCCAAATGTTGTCCCAAGTGACAGGGAGTGTGAATGCCACAGCAGTGCTCGATCCCCAATGTGACCGCGGCGAAGACATCCACTGGCAATGGGTGCTGCTGGATGGAGCCAACTGGACTCTACTGAGATATCTCAAGTCCGAGCCGCGGGAACTGCTCCTTGGAACAGATTTGGATCCCCCCAAGAGCGAACACTCGACTTGGTCCGCGACTCCTCGCCCGGCTTAGTGGGTCGCTTTCTGGTCGCCCTATTTTCGTAGGTCGAGGACTATTCGCTTTCCCCTTTTGATGGTCGTATGCTTAGTGCTACATGGCCTAGCGTTTCTTTGGGCCCTCAAAAGGACGGCTCTCCATTTTTTCCGTTCTTTCTGAGGAATGAAAGCATCACCACTCTCGACTTCCCCAGCTACTCCCTGGAGAAAGCAGGCGTCTACTACTTTGCTTTGTCCACTGTTCCAGAGCAGCGACTGGCGCTTGGGCAAGTCGTTGATATCGTTGATGATCGAATGATTGCCATCTCACCGAGCTTCCGTGTGGATGGGCCACCAGAGCTGGGAGTGGTGGAGGTGAATCCGCCCGCGGGTGAGGCAGCTGCGGCCTAAGTTGCAAGGTTTCACACATGGTTTCACACGGTTTCATACATCGTTTTCGTGAATGTCATGACTCTGCTTGACACATTTTCACATGGACAAGACATGGACAAGACACACATCTTGAACTCATGAGTCCTGTTGACCTCGTTTTTGACCTTTTGTTCCACATGTTCAGGTCACGACCTCGTTCACGATCACCACCCATTCTTGGCAAGACGAAGAAGAAGAACGACTCGAGTACAGTTTTTATGCTCTGAACGCCTCGAAGGCTGGAGACGAAGAACCGACGGTCTGCCGTAAACACACTTCCTTCATGGAATCAGTCAGCATCTTTTTTGGTACGTCATCTTCCAAGGCCGGGTTCCCTCATGCGGAAGAGAACTTCACTCGGATCCCCAGTCGGAATCCGATCCGCACGAAGGTGACAGACCGACAAAAAGGGTTGGCCACGCAGGATCCTCAGGAGCTGGACTTCAGCAACACCTTCAACGAGAGCTACTTCTCCAAACACGGTGGGATCCTTCTTCGCAGCTGGGCCACTCGTCTCGGAACCAGCGGATGTTGCCGCTCGAACGATGTCGCCGCAGCGTCAGCGTCAGCGTCAGCGTCGCCGGCGCCTCTCGTCGGAGGGGAAGTCCAAGACGGTGTCTGACATTCGGATGCCTCCGGGCAACTTCTCCCTTTTGGCTCGTGCTCGAGATCACCTCGGAGCAGAGGTGAGGGAACTTCAGCAGGGGCGTAATCTTCCTTGGGTTGTGAATGTGGTCAGCAAGGGATGATAGGGACAACCATTTTGCACGCATTGACCAGGCCTGGTCATCTATTTCTCTGAATTGGAGCATTGCTGAGATAGATGACCAATTTGCTGCCGCGGCACAGGTTCTGCAGGCAGGGCCACATCAGCGAAGCAGGAAGCACGAACCACTAGACGGCGGCACTGAGATGCTGATGAAACACCACCGGAGCTTCGCATGAGAATCATGAGACATGTGGGTTTAAACAAATCGAAAGAAGAGCAATGTATTGCCCAGAAAGGTAGATTCGTTGTCGGGCAATTAAGTCTTAGTATTTGGGAGACCGGGGGGGATCTCCCAACCGATTGGTTGAGGTCTAACTTCCTTCCTGATCTTGATCTTTCTTGATCTTCTTGCACGGTGTTGCGAGACCGGGGATTGGTCTTCTTTTTTTTGTAATTTAAACAACATGTAACATGCCCATGTGGCCACAACCCTGGACTGTTCGCAACCATGGGGTCTGGGAGTATTCGATGTCCATACGTCTGGCCATGGGAGGCTTCGATGTCCACAGTGAATGGACAGCAAATGCTCAACACCGTGAACGCGATTTACAAGAGCAATGCCACCCAAAGCCTGAGCCACTTACTCCTGGCTCTAAAGGCCATGACCTCGTTTGGATGGAATATACATAATTATATATACAACTAATATATGATCATATAATATATGTATGTATATTAGTTGTATTTTGTATATTGTTTTTTGCAGATTATGACATCCGGTGTCCCTGAAAGGTGGCAGCTCAGAATGTTGATGCCACAGTGGAGATTCTGCGAGAATTGAGTTGGGTGACAAGTGCACTGGTCACAGATGACGCTGCGGACGAAGTGAACCTTTTAGAAGCCAGCGATCTACTGAGCAAGTATATTGAGCTTAGTCTTGCGCCTAACACCAACCCAGCTGGCGAAGAGACCCTTGCAACAATTCTAAGTCAGGAGCTCAGGATGACCAAAAAACACTTCGACAGAGGCCCACGAAACGATTATGAAGAGGTGTGAAAACCCAATGCTAACGACTTCTGCTGAGAGGAAGGGTGTTTTTGCATTGCGAACCGGTCTTGAACATAGACGGGTAACATATAAGATCACAATATAAGCATATATATATATATATTGAGAACAGGCCTTTGCATGTACATATATTGTATACAATATGCTCCATGATATGATTTAATATGCATCTTATACCTAGATCTTCAGTCCGGCACTTTTACAGGGTCCGGCGCCGGAATTCCAACTCAGGCGTTTTTCTGGATTTGGTCCGGCAGTTTTTCTAACTCACTTTATGTGAATTTCCAGGCTTTGCATTCTTTGTTGTCCGCATTTCTTTGAAGGTAAATCAACTACTGACGAATAATTTTCCTTGAACGTGTGCTCGTTTGCCTGTTCCGCTGTTTTCTCATTCCACCGGTTTCAGCAGTGGTTCACACTGGCTCAATCAGATCCGTACAGGTGATCTTCTAAATAACTCGATACAGTGCGATGCACGTGTTGAAAGACGCAAGTGGGTGTACCTCAGCTGAATGAAAGAACATAGGCGATAACGGATTCCCATTGTTTAAGGATGTCGGGGCGCTGGGAAATAGTTCTAGCTACGCAGGCTTGCAGAGCCTGCCGGAAAGTTTTGGGTTGGAAACGTGCGTTGTTCAGAATCCTTGTTCAGAATCCCCATGTTTTGCAGGGAGTTGACAAAAAAAACGCGTCGTAGCTCCGGCGTAAGTTCCCGCAACTCCGACATAACTTCCCGTAAATCCGCCATAAGTTCCCATACTCCGGCTTCTGGAAGGGGGTCGGGGTCCTTAGGCAAACAAAAAACCCTGGAGTGCAACCCACTTGGTAAAAAGAGCTTTAGAGACACGGTTGCAGAGAAAGTGGGGGTTCCCTTGCCGCGTGCTCCTTGGTTTGTTCTTGGACGTTTTTGCTTAGGCACAAGTTTGCTTACTGTAAATTTTGTGGAGAGGTTCTGCTCTTAGGCATTTCGGAGGGTGGGCGAGGGCAATGGGAACGGGAAGGCTCCAGTAATTAGGTTGTGGAATGAGTGTGTTCCAGAAAAACGACTCGTGGCGCAAAGGCAGTTTGCTTGTGTATGATCCAACCCTTTCATCATCCCTGTTTTGTCAAAATCTTGGACCCGGATGTTTTTCCAGGTTCTCCGCGTTCTTTTTTCGGACTCCGGCGGACGATCTTGCAGCAAAAAGGAGGCTCCAGGTATATCGGTGAGAAGAGGCCTTCAACACCCTCACGCAGTTTTGGTGAGTCCGAAGCGCCCCCAAGGAGCCATCAGTTCGGTGAATCAGGCGCGCAGCCGCTTGGGCCTCAGCGAAGCATCGAACGTGTCCCAAGACGTGAGCCACCGAGTCTCCGAATTGGGACTTGCCATGCTGAAAGTGCCAGACCAGTCGGTGCAGGCGCGTGAAGGCTGGACGGTGAATGCAGATGACATCACTTTGGAGGTGATTCCATCCTCCGGACGAAGGGTCTCCACTTTCTTCCATGACTCGTATCCTTTCACCATTGAAGATCCGAGCTCTGAGAAGCTTGATGCGCGCTCTGGGTTGGTGAAAGTCCTTGAGATTGGCACAGAAGGCAGCTTCCTGGATTCGGTTTGGTCGGACTCTAAGTGATTGAAACGCATGAGGACACGCAAGCAGCTTTGAGATGCTTGCAAAAGTCTGTGCAAGTTTGATTTAGACTCAACCCCAGTTTTTCAGTTTTTCTTCTTGCTCAGGATTACTTTTCAGGTGGAGGACAAGCCGGGGATGAACGCAATTTGTATGCGGTCGCTTGGCTCGGAAAAAATGCAAGCAATGATTTCGGGCAGTTCTCTCAACCTCGGAGAGCTCGAGGGTTTTTCCTCGTTCTCCGTTTGAGGACCGGTCTTGGCGCGAACCAGCGATGGGAAGCTAGCACGACGGTCGTCGAGAAGTCTGAGGTGTCGGGGAGTCCGACAGTGGCCTGTCATGTTGAAGCCTTCCAATCCCCTGAATGTTTCAGCCTGGCCTGGAGGAACATTGACTCTTGGCAAAATTTGTTTTGACATGTCTTGGTGTGACAATGGGCATGTTTTTGGTCTCTGGGTCCAGAAATTTGATCCCTATCTTTGGTTTTGACCCTTGCTCCGGTGTGGGTACCGGTGCTAAGAAAACCGGGTCTTGTTCCTCTCAGGATGATGAAGCTGCATCGAACCTGTGGATGTGCTCCTTGATTTCGACCCTGGTGACACTGATTCTGGTGCCGGCAGCGTGCGGTCTCTTTGAGTTTGAGACGCGCGAGAAGTTTCGAAGCAGGGAGCCTGTCCGGCTCCATGTCCGGACAGGCACCTCCCTGTATTTACCAGGAACATTGTGGAAGAGCGAGTTCTCTGCAATCGCAGGAAGTGAACCGGCAGTCGAGGAGAGAGTGTTTGAATTACCCGATTGACGCGACCACGAGGGTGCTGTGCGTGTTTTTGTTTGTTCATGTGGTTTTGTATGGTTTGTTATGTTTTGTTGAGTATTTATTCACTAGATTGTGGTTTGGAGTTTCAGGCAATCCTGCTGTATTCGCCACATCTATCTTGAAGTTGATCTTGACACATTTTGATTCTGCATTTAAAAGGACCCCCCCTAGTTTCCATTGTTGTGCAACAAAGCAGGTTTTAACGCCTGGATTCTAGTGATGGTCTCCGCAATAAAAGAAAAAGCCAGAAAATGGCTGTTTTGTCGTTTTTTGCCCTGGTTGGTGGGGTTGTTTGAGGGAGCGACTGTGGTGGGAAGGACTGGTTTGGCTGATTGGCTGCTAACGGGGCGGCTGCAACGGGGTTTTCTGGGTGGGGAAGTGGGTGGGTCGATGCTGCCTTCGTTGTTGATGCGTGGTGCTCACCATTTGCTGCTATTTGGAGTACGTAATATCAAGAGCACGTTTGCAGGGCACCCTGCCGGGCATTGGGATACGAGAAGCAGCCGGGTGTTTGGCAAAGACAAGGCGTAGACTGCACATAGCAGCGTAACCAAGAAAACATTGGCCCAAGCAACTCCAATGCGTATTTCTTTTGTGTCTTTTGCGATTGAACAATGATATATAAGTAACATGACTGATTAGCTTCCTTTTCCGGTGACACAAGCACCTGATCAGGATGTGGCACCAGATGAGGCACTAGATGAAGTGCAAGAGCCTGTTCTCGACCTCGACAAACTCATGGGCTTCCAGGTCCGAGTTGACCGGAATGCCATGCTGTTGAAGGAAGAAACTAATATGAAATTATCATTAGTTTTTGCTGGTGTGGTCACCCACAATGCGCAGGGTGGTCCCAGGGGGGGCTGCGAAGACCTGAGTAATTCGTCAACGGCCCGCAGCTGTGCGGTCGACCTACTCGGGGCCCGGTTTTCGTTCAGATCACGTGCCCGCACGAAAACACGAAAAACGCAAAGGCGGAAGAACATGAAACGTCGTATATTTGGCGAGAGAAGACGATGAGAAGAAATGATAACATACTTTTCTTTTAGCATTTGCAACAGATCGCTGTCAAAAAATGTCCTGTTTGCACATCCTTTGCACTGCAGCGCGATCAGGTTTGCCTTCCGGATAACCTTTGGCATCAATTTGTTGATTGTATGATGATTGTCTAGTCTTGGCGGTTTTTTTTTTTTGGCGTTTCCTCTTTTAACTCACTTTCTTTCGTCCTCTGAACTCACAGTTGAAGGTGATGTTATCCCATCCCATGGCGAAGATCTGCCATATCTGATTATGTATATTATATATCTTCTCTCTCCAGGCATCTCCTTCCTGGAAGGATCCTTCGCTTTTGGGGTCCGTTTGGCTCCGAGCTCCACCGCTGCCACCGCTGCCCACCGCCGTTCTCAGAGCTGATGCGACAGATACGACTACTGGCGGTCAGTCGATCAGTTCTGGATGCTAATACTGCTTTGGAACATCTATATATGTTCCTATTCTTATCTTCGTCACTTTCCACTCTTCCACCTCTTCTTTCACTTCCCAATCATCTCACCTGCACGTTGCTGGGATCCACTGCTGGAGGCGGCTGCGTCATCAACTTGGTCATGCTTTGTGTACTTCGTCTACTCGCGTATCTGCTTGCATATAGACCGAAGGATGCAGCTTCTCCAGCATGGACCAGCCATCCATCGGAATCCCAAGTGACACGTAGGCGCTCAGCTGAATTGCACCGGCTTTGGAAGCTGTAGCCGGCTACGGCGCGGAATTTCCACAAAGGTTCATCCACGAAGCTTTTCCTAGAGCACCTCCTTCAGCAATTTTGATCATCCCAAGTGTGATAGAAGAGCGGCACATCTTTATCAATTTATCGCCATGATCCTGAAGTTGATACACTGTAGATGATACAAACTAAAGAGGCTATAGTTATATAGAAGAGGCTCAAGGATCGTTGGAACTTCTCGCTGACTCAGCTCAGAATTTCTTCCAGCCTCGTCCTTGGCTTTCCTGGCATCGAAGACGGGTCCTGGCGCCGCGTCGAAACAATGAGAGTCACGGCCCTGTGGGGGACGCTCACTCGACGAGCAAGGAGTTCGCGCAGCATACGAGGTTTGGTGTTGACTGTGCTGGGTTGGAGATTGGATTCCCCATTGGCACCCATGACCTTGATCTCCTTATCATGTTCATTAGCCTTCATGGGCTGATTCGAGATTCTCCTGCGAAGTCGCCACTGATTCTGAATTATTAGTAAGTATTGTGAGAGCTTCTCCAGAAAGTTGCAGCAACTTGTAACCAATTCTTCATCGATGTTTCATTGGTGTTGCTTCAGCTCCAGTGACTGGCAGTTTCAGAAGCGAGCTCAGCATGCACGTTGTACTCATACCCCTTCGGAAGTGCATTCTGTTTATGAAGGTATGCAATGGCAGCCTTTTCCAGATAGTGAAGTCATATCAATCAGCTGTAGTTGTCGGTGTTCATCAAAGCATCTCCTTGCTCTCACGTTGCACCTTCATGACCTGAACATTCAAAGAACCATCATTCAACTGTTCCAGGCTTCAGTGACTGCTTTGATTGTGTTGTTCTCATTAACGAGATTCCAACAGCGTGTGTGTGTGTGTTGGCATTGTGTTCCTGTTTTTCTCTCTCTTGCATGTATTTCAACCGGTGACCAATAGCATCTCCCCCCCAAAAAAGCGATCATGTCTGAAACCGTTTCAACACGTTTGACGTCTCATTTGCAACGAACAACGACACCGGAACGCAGGAACGTCCCCGATCCGTCGCGCGGGGAGGTCACGACGAACTCACGGACGAACGAACGCCACGGCACGCCTGGAAACGGTCGAACCCAACATTGGCTCAAAACATGTTTCGCTTCGTTTCTGAGCGCTTGAATCAATTTTGAGCAAAGTAAGATGATTGATTGCTTGGTTTCCTTTTGGATGACACAAGCCTGATCAGGATGTGCCGTGCGAGCAACGAGATAGGGCACTAGATGAAGTGCAAGAGCCTGTTCTCGACCTTGACGAACTCTTGGGCTTCCAGGTCCGAGTTGACCGGAATGCCATGCTGTTGAAGGAAGTAACGAGTTGACCGGAGTGATTGAAAGCAGGCATCTATAAATATATATATATATAAGTTGACCGGAGCGGACGCACGTATTCATCCCCCAGGAATTGACGAACGGGGGAGGAACGGCTTCCCATGGGCTTCAAATCGAACGCCCGCCCGTCAGGCAGAAGTCCCTGATGACCGGCCTGAAGTGCAACAAAAGCAGGAGGAAGAGGAAGAAGAAGAATTGTATCTAGTCTAGGTCCGTTATGGTCATTTGGCCAGATGATGGTATCTCGGTATCTCTGCTTGTTTGGGAAGGCGATGTACCCCAAGTAGTGGTTGATGGGGTGGCGAGCTCGAACTTGGCATGAATGGGGGAAGCAAGCAGCTCGGCCAGTTGCAAGGGGTTACATCGGGATGTCCTGCTTCACCGTGGTCATTCTGCTGGTCACTCGTGACTCAGCTGCTTGTGACGTGTCACATCGCCTCAAGGGCCGTCCGTGACTGCCGAGTGTGGCGGGTTCCGAAAAAGGTGAATCCGTCCGTCTGATCAAACGGGGATTTCTCTCGGCTTCAAGTGATTTGTTTCCCCAAACGGGCTCCAGTCGTACCTTGGTTTCGAAGGTGGGACTGGGGTGGGTGTCAGGAGTTTTTTCATACCGAACCTGAGGAGGTACGACTGGAGCGCTAGGGTTTTTCTTTGGGTGGAATACAAGTTCGAAGTAGCTTATCGTTGACTGAGCAACTCACCATAGGCAACTCACCAACTATGTCGCAATTCACCAAGATCACAGGAGTCCGCGGCTAGATTTGAGAAATCACGTGACCTCCAAAGAAACAACCACGGCCAGTCTCTACTAGAAAACCTTGAATTCCTATATGTCTTGGCTATTCTCCAAAGGATTCCCACTCCACTTATTTTCCTAGTGAGGGAAACCTTGCCCCATCCTTTGGACCCCGAAAACCTCATTGGGGAAAGCCAGGCAGCGGACCTCTGACCTCTGTCGGGACATATGAGTTCTGTTTCAGTCGGCACTCCGGAATCAAGCTCCGTCGGAAATTCGGCTCCCCCGAAAAGCAATGTCTTGAGAGAAGCTCGAGACGTCAACGGCAACGGTTGTGGTTTTGATCTGGTGAAACACAGGCGGATCGCAGTGCATGCGATCCGGGTGTCGTGGCGGAGAGAAGCTCGAGACACGAGGGAGTTGGAAAAGCTTGGACCCGCACGACTGCATGTTCTGAACCCAGTCTGGAGAAAAGTCTTGCTGGATGGTCAAGAAAAACAAAGGGCATTTTGTCCACCGAACGTTTTTGTTCACCAACACGCGTGGTTTTGCTCGATTCACATCGCCGAAGAGCCGGGCGTTGCCAAGGGGCTGGAGTTGTTGGCATTTCTTGTCATTTCAGAGCAAAGAGGAGCAGCTCACCAATGGAGATAAATCCGCAATCTACTCTTTGTTACAACTGCAAAAACCACCCAAATGAAACTTTCTGGATACTTTCAGTCGCAGCCACAAGGGTGAGCAAAAAGAAACACCGGGGTTTTGCCAGAACGCAGCGATACGACTTCCCCAAGTTCAAGACAGGTGAATAATTGATGGACATTTTCCAAGATTCACAGTTCGTTGCGTACTTCATGTAGTCCTTTTTCAGCTGAGGTCGTTCTGAACCTCATCGGCAGATAGGCAGATGTATTCATTATCATTCCTCCCACAAGCCAGCCCCACAAAAAGTTAGCACCATCACGAAGTCACCTTTGGAAACTCTGCGAAGAAAGTGGGTTCTCAGTGGAACCTTCGCCTGCTGATGAGCTGATGGAAGAGTCCTTGCAGCAGTTCTGTTCCAAATGGCAGCTGGATGCCGAAGCACAAGCCTTCCTCAGGCGGGTGGAGCTCTGAGCTCCGAGCTCGCGAACGCTCGCGCACACCGTGCGTACAGTACCGTGTGGAGCGGAACGTTCAGCGGGTCGTTCTACCGAACTGGGCGGAAGCGAGAACAGACCGTGCTCAGCACACATTCTACGACTATACCCTGCTTTTCCCGAAAGCATCGAGATTCTGAAAAGCTTTTCGGATTCCCACATCACCCCTTCTGTGAGCCAAACCAGACAAAACTTCATGAAGAAACTGAACTGGTACTCAATGGCCCCAACATCGGAGTTGCCTTGAAATTCTGCATGGACTTTGCTTTGGAACATGCGGACCACTTCCGACCACACGAACATCACCAGGTCCTTGGACGCAGGAGCCTTGGAGGTGGTGATCAGAGACTTTGCACCGCATGAGGCGGGACCCGCATGGGTGAAGGGAGGCCAGTTGGGAGTAAGGTGATCGGTGAGGCCATTTGGGCCAAAGCTGAGGCCATTTAGGGGATGTTTGGGGCTGCCAGATCGATGTCCCGAACTGCGGCTGCGATATATGGCCTCTTAAGTTATACAAGTAGGACTGATTCACCAGACGCAGGACGCAGATGGCCCTTTTGTTCAGGACGCAGGTCTTCATGATTGGCCCATTTTCTTCAATTCAACACAAGTGAGTTGGAGTGTAGCAGACCATATTTCAATTCACGCTAGAAGCCATCTCTATGGATTTTGGGGACCGCTACAGGCTTAAGGCTGGTCTGTTAAAGAGATCTTAGAAGCCAACCTCAAAGGAGATGTTTTAGGAGTGAGCAGGCTACAACCGTCCGCAGACGTGCAGACTCATGGATGAGGGGTGTCATCATTGGAGGAGAGGTGGACCTGCAGGGCTTACCCCTCAGCTTCGGAACGATTCGGAACAAGCTGAACGGTTGAAGAGTTGAACACCCTGGCCGCCCCTGGCCCTCTTCTTGGGGAATCGTTCTCCGCACTTGGAGGACTGTTCCAGTGGCCATGGAGTGTCGTTGGTTTAGCCATCTTGGGTGTCTTAGGAACGAGTAGTTCACATCTCATCCTAGGTGCCAGCCCAAGATGGAACCACCACTCCCGAAGAGTATAAGAAATCCGTGTACCTGGCATCCTCATGATGAACAGCGTCCCAGTTGGCGTCTCATCAGTCCCAAAGCTGTTGCCTATGTATTGCACACTTCACATGAGACGCACACGCTCCGGCAGGGTTTCTACCAAGTGAACACTCAAAGATCGTGGTGAAAAGACAAAAACAAAGTACTGTAATGCCTTTTGGTACGCAGGATCTGCCCCTTTTGATACTAACTCACTCAGTTCGTATATGGTTTCATTCAGTCTCATCACTTGGGGCCACTTAGCGGATTCTCATTGTCTTATAAAGGATTAACAAGCATGAACCATGCGGTAGCATTTTGATACTTTCTGAAAGATCATCCTACTGATTCTTCTCCACTTGGCCAAAAACCATTTCCCATCCACTACGCACTCTACATGTCATTCTCTGTTTTGGGGTTCAGTCCTCTCTCCTCGCACCGTCCTTCCTTTCCTTTCTGTGCGTCGCTACACGCCAGGGGACCCAGGACGTAGCCGGGAAACTCTACTCCTTCGCCAAGGGCATCTCGCGGCAGCCGCGCCAGGAGGAGTTGGAGGCGCAGCGCTCGCGGGGCGAACTCCGTGAAAGCGCGGCCGTGCGCGAGCGGGTTTCACGTGCGCGCTCGCGAACAGGTGGTTTTGGGGTGTCATGCTCGTTCGGTGCTTTCTATTTGGGGGCGAGGAAACATGCCGATGAATCGGTGTGGCAGGTGGACCTTTTTCGACTTCTGCATTGTCAGATATGGCGGCAGAAGTGGGGATGGCCCATCACGAAGGGGTGCCCAAAGGGCACATTTCACCCACCAAACCAGCCATGCAAAGGTGTACTGATGTTGGCGGCCAGGGGTATGCAAGTGTGGCGAAGTGATTTTGGCATCTCCACTGAGCCAAACACGCTCCAGGCTTTTATCCAAAAGTGGAGCTTGGACGTCTCCACCGCCCCTTGGTTGAGGGGTTTCGTGGTCCGCGGTGCTTGTGGAAGACCATCCAGTGTGATTCATGCCGATGAAGACAGTCTGTATCCACCATCCTCCAATTCGCGTTGGGATCTGAAGACCATGCAGCCTTCGACCGAACTTTTGATTGTTTGCAGCGGTGATTTGTCCCACAGAAAGTCGACTACAATAGTCATGCACTGAGCCTTTGCTTCGTCTGCGAGGATCCGAATTCAGCTACCTCTCCTTGAGAACTGGATAGAACTCGTCCAACGGTTTCTTTCCTTTTCCGAAGTGTCTAGATGTTTGCATTCATCAAACCTGCGGGTTTTCGTGGATTCAACTGAACAACTCAAACCGGAGACCAAATCCAACTGAAGACCTCCACCTTGCCCTTGCCCTACTCGGACAGGGAAGCAAAGATGCGCGCGCTCACAGCGCGCTGAGGCCAAGTGGGTCCGGGAGCTACCGCAGGAGGTGAAGGACGCTCTGGCGCCTTGGACGGATCCGGATCCGGATCGGTCGAACTCGGTCCGGAGAGTGGGGGTCCAGAGCGAGGACTGGGCAGAACAGGTCAAGCAGATGGTAAACCAGATGCTTTCGGGATAGAACCCAGACGGTTTCATGATATTTGGAAGCTCTGGCCCTAACGTTGATCAGAAGATATAAGCTCTGTGTTGGTCGACAGGACGATGGCGTTCATTGAGGATAGCAGTCGACCAAAAGAGCCAAGCACGGCAAAGTCTTCAGAGATACTAGTGATGGAACTCGTCCCCGAAGCAAACGGCGGAGCAACGGAGCCACAGAACGCCCTTTCCAAAAGGTTCTCAGAGCGGCAAGCCGTCGGCCTGAGCGAGCGGCCCAAAAGCGAAAAGAGGGTCGGGTCCGGAATGTCTTGCTGTGCGTTGGTGGTGGTAGGAAGCTCAAAGGAGATGGTCCAGAATCAATCATCAGAACCACTAGAGTTCATTCATTTGTCCCTTTCCTTTTGGCGGAATCAATCACCGCCCCATCCAGATGACAGATACATGCTCTAGGTCACGAAACACGCAGCAGTCTTTGACTGGAGTCTTTGGTCTTCTCCTTGGGACCTTGGACCATGACCAGGTCACGCTTTGAGAATGGCCGCTTTGAAGTTTTGAAGCGGTCAACGCAGTCATCCCGGAACCATCCAGCTCTCCGGAGTCCGCCTCAGTCCTCAGTCCACACGGATTCACCTCGGACACCAGACCCACCAACCCCACACTCCGTCCCGCAACCGCTTCGCCAACCGCTTCGCCAACCGCTTCTCTCTCCCCCTCAGGTGCGAGACTTCGAACCCAAGGAGGAGCCCGAAACGAAGACGACCGACGTGGCGTGAAGCCCGACGTGTCGTGTCGTGAAGGGTCTGGAGCGGACACCATGCCGTTCGTGCGTTCGTACGGGTGGGCGTCTCGGACGGTGGGTTCTTTCGGGCCCAAAGGTCCAGAGTTGGGGAATGTTTGGTTGGATCAAGTATGTTGGTTGAAAGAAGAGAGGTGAACGTTTGATACAGTAGTATAGTACTATAGCATATACTGTAGTTTAATATGCTGGATGCCGTCGTCTAGAAACAATTGCCAGATATTGTATATAGC